CAGTTCCGATTGATGGTTGATGTCGGATTTTATCAGTTTCCGATACTAGGATCCGATATCGATTCCGGAACCAGGAATCCGACGATAATCCAATAGTTTCCTTGCGCCTTCCGAAGAGCTCCGTCGGATTCGAATAGGAACCGATCGGAACTCATCGGATCCGAGGCTAGGATTCATTCTCCTGGGAATTGAGGTTACATAAATAAATAAAGCAAAGTTCCAGCAAACAAAGCTGAAATATATGTAAACCGTGAAGAGAAATAATATAAAATATTACGATTCTTCTATTGCAGACCTTCACGTGCATTTAATATCAGACTACTCACAAGCGAAAGAATCCATGAGCTTCTTTTGACAAATTGAGCTTTCGATGTTGTAACAAACGAGGATGAAAGAAAATTAGATGAAATACAAGATCGAGAGTGCTATTTACAAAACATTTGTAGAAGAGCAGTTTTTGTGCTGTACCAAGAAGCTCTGGAGTGCAGGATGCTGTATTTTCTTCCTATTTATCTGGTATTTAATAGACGTACATAATAATAACTGTCATATATATTTCATCGATTTAATTGAAATAAAAAGTTTAATCTTTAATTACTTACCTACAGAAAAAATAAGTTAACTTCGATAAAATGTGTGTATTTAAATCAGTCAGATATACTGCAAATTTGTACTCACTATCTGCGAAAAATTCTTCTCGAATTTCATCATGAGTCTTTACTTTTCGCCAAGGAATTTTAGGTAGTGTCTCAGACAACTTTTGTTTGTCATATGTGCTGCTGTTCTAGTAAAAATCTCTATCGATCATTCTATTAATAGCAATTAAGTATTATATCCTATTTTTTACGAATGTGCCTAGACGTTTGAATGATCGTAGTTTGTATTACAGCTTCCTCTTACTAGATTTATATCTCATGGATAAAAAAAAAGCTAACAAAAATATTGATAGTAAATTGTAAAATCTAAACGTATTCAAACGTATTTTTCTCTTTCTCACAGATTTAAATCTTCATCAAATACAATTCATTCCAAACAAACTGATAGTGACGATGCTGATGACGATGAAGCAATAAGTGTTGATGATAATGAAGAAGTACATGAAGATGTTAGTGACGATGATTATGGTAGTGATATTTCTGATCAACATGATTTTTAAAGAACGATAGTACTTCAGATATATTATCTGATGAAAATGTATCGGATATTAGTGATGATGATGATGATGAAGTTAAAGACGACGATGAAGATTTATCACCACTAAATGGTAGCAAACAACGCCAAAATGATGAACAAACAATTATTGGTATTACTGCTAATCCCAGTGACTTATCGTCAATCGTTTATAATTTATTACTACGTGTTAGAAGATTAATTAAATTTATTCGAACATCAAGTGTACTTGATCGTTATATTCGAAATCAAATATGATTAAAGAATATAGAAATCATTCGATCTGCACATGAACAAAGCCTTAAGCCAGTTTAACTAAACAATGCTGTTTTGGACTTCCGTATTCGATGGAATACAACTTATATCATGATATCACGGTTCATTGCATTAAGTTATATTATTACTGATGTCACAGTATTACATAGTATAGAAATTAACTTGAAAAAAAGCAAAATGAAAAACTTCAACAGCTATCATTTTCTCGATTTGATTGGTCCATATTGGCAGCATTAAAAAATGTTTTATTTCCATTTTATCGGGCAACAACACTGCTTTCAGGATCAAAATATCCAAACCTGTCTACTGCTTATTTAGTTTCAGCAGGGTTGAAAAATTTTTTAACAAAAATCAAGGATGATCAACTATTTGAAGATGCATTGAAGAAGTTGTTACTAGCTAAATTTAGCTACTATTTTGAGCAAGAAATTAATTGGGAACAAAAACGTGCAACTTTAGTATGTACATATAACTGATTTACATTTATTGAAGTTATAGATTTTTTAAAAGACATCAATAATTTTTAGAAAAAAAGCACTTTTTTGAGCTAGGATAATCTAAGTTAATATAATTGTCTACTTTATTGTTAACTCGAAGAAGTTTGGTATTCGACAAAATCTCTTAGTAAACTCTTCGCGCTTACTTAAAATGTAAAACTCAATATAGCTAATTTTACGAATCCTTTGGCGATTGTTTTCTTCTCTGAATTGTTTAACACGTTTCTACAGCATATTCTCACTTAGTCTTTCCGCGAAATGTTAAAAGGCACATAGTTAATGTATTATATAGAGGAGCAATAAATGCAGTCTGTGGACAAACATGAATAAGATTCGCCACAGCTTGTGATGTTTCTATTATAATGTTAGTCATTATCAAGGGGGAAAAAACTGATTTCTTGTTTTCTTGATTTCTAGTCAGTTCTAGTGATTTCCAATGATTTCTAGTGATTTCTGATATGAGAAATCAACCTTTTTCTTGCTATCTCTGATACTAAAAATCACTAAAAATCATTGGAAACCACTAGAAACCACTAGAAATCAAGAATGACAAACTAAGGTTCGCGCAAGACGAACTTCAAGTGAAATTATGAATTTACGTCTTTCACACATCATCTGCTACAGAATTTTACGGTGATCACGAATATATGTTTTCAAGTTATTTCAAAGCTTCCTTCAGTTCAAAAAANGCTTGACTGGTAGAAAATTTTTCAATTAAGTTGAGTCGAGTCAATTTAGATCAAAACGTTTTTCCAAATCACTTAACTTGACTTGATTTAACTTGATGAAAAACTTTTCTATCAAGTGAAGACCACCCAAGTGATACCGAAACGTTTTTCTATCTCACTTGACTTGATTTGACTTCACTTGGTAGAAAAATTTTCCACCAAGTTAAATGAAGTTAAGTGATATGAAAATTTTTTTCGGTCAATTTAAACAACTCAAGTCAGATCGAAAAAAATTTCCATATCACTCAACTTCATTTACCTTGGTGAAAAAATTTTCTACCAAGTCAAGTTAAGTCAAGTGATATTGAAACGTTTTTTTTTCTCACTTGGCTTGATTTGACTTGACTTGGTAGAAAATGTTTTCACGGAGTTAAATCAAGTCAAGCTAAGTGATATGAAAAATTTATTCGATCAACTTAAACAAGTCATGTCAGATCGGAAAACATTTCCATATCACTTAACTTCACTTGATTTAACTTCATGAAAAACTTTTCTACCAAGTCAAGTCAAGTTAAGTGATATCGAATTTTTTCCGATCAGACTTGAGTTGTTTAAATTGGCCGAAAAAAATTTTCATATCACTTAACTTCATTTAGCTTGATGGAAAAATTTTCTACCAAGTCAAGTTAAGTCAAGTGATATCGAAACGTTTTTCTATCTCAGTTGACTTGATTTCACTTAACTTGGTAGAAAATTTTTCCATGAACTTAAATGAAGTTAAGTGATATGGAAATTTTTCCGATCTGACTTGACTTGTTTAAGTTGATCAAATAAATTTTTCATATCACTTGAATTGACTTGATTTAGCTGCATGAAAAGATTTTCTACGAACTGAAGCCAAGTCAAGTGAAACCGAAAAGTCAGATTAATTTTTTTAAATTTAGATATGTTCGAACGTTTGGCTCAACAACTGTAAGTATAACATTTATATTAAATAATTTTTTCTTTTATTTAGATATCGGCGAGCGATTGGTTCAATAACGGTAAGCATAACTTTTAATATAAAATTATTATTATTTTATTTAGAGCGTCTCGATCAATATATACAATGGTAAGTATTTCCAAACCCTTCTTAAATGCATTTGAAAGGGATTATGAAATCAATATGCTCTTTCATGTGCTTTTTGGAAGGGTTTAGGAAAATAATAAACCGTGAAAAGGGTTTATTGTGCTTTGCACTAACATAAACCGTTATAAGGGTTTAGGAAAGTAAGAAATTCAATCCTGAACCATTTGGGTCGGTGTATGAAGGGGTTTTGGGGAAACGTGAACCCTTTCTGGAACCGTCATAAATGGTTCAGGATTGAGTTTCTTACTTTCCTAAACCCTTTGAAAGGGTATATGAAGGGGTTCAGGAATTTCATAAACCCTTTAATAAACCCTAAAAAAGGGTTTAGGAGAATTTTCCATACGGTAAAAAGGGTTTACTATACGTTGCACTTTCATCAACCCTTTTTGGGTTTATTATTCTACGAATTTTTTTTACAGTGCACTTTAAGCTATTTCAAGTAATTTACTTTCACCTACTTTTCAACTGCACATTTACTTGAAGTTATCTGAAGTTACTTGTTCTAACTTTGTGCTACTTAAGTCATACTTTTAGCTACTTCAAGTATTGGACTTTGACGTACTTTTGTATTTCAAGTCCGCTGTTTCCCCCTTGCATTGTTTACTAAAAACTTCAGTTTTTGTTTGTTTCAATAGATTGATGATGCAGCACGACTTTATTTTATTGAATATAATAAAATAAAAAATTTAAAATAAAAGAAAATTTATTTAAATTCTAAATGTTTTTTGCTTTTTCCAATATTTCGTCCTTGTTTATACGGACATTTACGAGAATTGTTCTTGTTATTGTTGTTGTTTTGCTTCATGTCGATGATGTTGTTTTGGTTTATGTTGATGTTGTTTTTCCACGACCTGATGTTTCATTATCATTTCCAATTCCATTACCTGATGTTATTAACTTGACCCTTTTACATATTTGCCACGTTGAATTTGATGTTCCTGTTGTTGTTTCATTCGATTTCATATAATTCTTTTGCTGCTTGTTCATGTAATTCATAATGTATTATATGAGAATTGAGTGGTTTAGAAGTTGTTTAGGAGGATGTTAATGATTTTGATGATATCTGTAACGAAATAGAAATTAGTTAGTGCGTGTTTGTGTTGCGTGGATGTTGGTTTCGGGCTGGACGTGAAGAGTCTTAGTGAGGTTAGGTTTTAATTGTATTTCTTTTCTGATTTTTCTGTTGAGTTGTGTGAATGTATTTTGTTTTGCTAATCGGAAAGTTTTCGAATGTTATGCAGTATCATGGGTGGAGACCGAAATAATTGTTGTTTGTAGTTTTTGTATAGGAATGTTTTATGTGAATATCCTTTGTTAGTCTTTTATGTATGGGTTGTGATGAGTAAGAAAGGAATGAAATTGGATTGGCCTATCCTGTATGATATGAGTCAGCAACGTTTGATGCGTTAATGTTGAATGAAGTTCCGAAGAAAGCTGTTTTTTTAGGCTAATAAAAATGATTTAGGTTTTCTTTTTTTTAAGATTTTTCAAAGTTTTTGGAGCTAATATGTCTTCTGTCGATTGTTTAGAGGTATTTCCCTCGAGCAATGTGGATTGATTTTTACGGTCACATCATGGTGGTGAAGTTTTACATGCTTATTGTTCGTTTCGGAAGTTATTCTTGCGTTTGGAGTCAATATGTCAGGATATTAGCTTTTTGAAAACATGGCGAGCGAACAGTGTTATTCCTAAATTTTTATGGTTTAATATGTCCAGTCCGCATCTTACTTGGTCGCATGTGTATCAGGATTGTCAACGGCGATTTTTAAACGTAGAAATTGATTGGAAGTACCAGTACTTCTATAGGACGAAGATTGAATATGAATCATGGTTGAATTGGCTTCGGGAGTTGGTATCGTGTCGCCTTTTCGAACACTTGTATTTGATGGTTGTGAATTATTGTCGACCACTACTAAAAAGGAAGGAAAATGTTTTGCTAGGAAAACTTTGGAATTTGGGTGTTCGTTATGAATGTTACGAAGTTAACGATTCAAAAGTCGTACGAAATCTTTCAACTCGTGTAGTATCTGATGAAGAAATTCAATGTCTTGCTAATGGATTAGATTATGGTTTAATTCCTAAACGAGTCGATAAGCTCATGATTGCGAATAATATTGAACAATTCTACCATCGTGTTACCGATATCACCCAACATTATAAGGAATTCACGAACGAACTGAAGGAAGCTGGAGCTGGAGCAATTGTTAAAAGTGATGTGCGTGTTTTGAATTCAAAAGAGCTTACATTGGCTGCTGATTTGCGTTCGCTAACTCAATCGTTCTTTCATAAGGCTAATGAATTTCGACAGCAAAATAACAAGCTCGACTCTAACGAAAAGAATTATCGTGCTATCCTGAAAAAATTGAGAGAAGGTGATTCAATAATTATTACTCGACCTGATAAAAGTAGAGGAATTGTGGTGATGAATCGGCAAGATTATGTTAACAAAATGCTAACTATTTTGAATGATTCTACAAAGTTCTCTTTTTTGCTTGAAGATCCTACAATTAAAAGAGAGAAACTTCTGAATGATTTATTAAAACGATTATATAACGAACATTGCATTACAGATCAATTTCATTGTATTGCAGGTGCTACTGGATCGTATCCTGGACGACTTTATGGATTTCCAAAAATCCATAAAGAAAACGTACCCCTTCGACCAGTGCTCTCCTCGATCGGGACATTCAATTATGGACTCGCAAAGGCTCCTAGTCAAATATTGTCGACGATTATCGAGAAAAAAAACATGATACGTGATTCTTTTGATTTTGTCAAAGAAGTGCGAACATTATCGAAGGATTTTTCGAAACATCGCATGGTATCATTCGAAGTTTCTAGTTTATATACAAATGTACCAATCAACGAAACTATTGAAATCATTCTCAACTCGTTATATGTAATCCAACCTATACCGCCAATTATGAAACGAGATGATATTAATGAGCTATTAATCTTTGCCACAAGGAATTCTCATTTTCTGTTTGATGGCAAGGTTTATGATCAAATTGACGATGTATCAATGGGATCTCCACTAGCTCCTCTCCTTGCAGAAATTTTTCTGCAAGAATTCGAGAGAAAAAATTCATCGTTGTTACAAGAGTTGGGGATCGTCTATTGGAAACGATACGTTGATGACACTTTCGTACTGCTCAACTCACAGTTTACTACAAAGCATGTTTGCGCTGAGCTATCAAAATGCCATCCTTCTATTCAATTTACCAGTGAAGAGGAAGATCCCGTTACACGCACTTTGCCATTTCTAGATGTACTTGTTCGAAGGAAGCCTGGTGCCGATTTTCATACGTGTGTGTACTGAAAAAAAAGGTTCTCTGGTTTAATGACAAAGTGGAGCAGTTTTGTTCCGAAGAGGTACAAGTATAGCGCGATCTCCACTACAATCTATAGGGCAATTCAAATATGTTCATCGAAGAATTCCCTTCACAAAGAAATCGATTTCATTCGAGGATTATGTGCAAAAAATGGCTATCCGGCAAGATTTGTTAACTCAATTATTAAACGACAGCTAAATCTACAAAAATCAACTGCCCCTCCTACACCTATAGAAACTACTACTGATACAGTAGTACTACGTGTTCCATATTTCGGAGCTGAATCTCAAATATACGGTAAACGCGTAACAGCAGCAGCTGCGAAGCACTACCCTCTTAAAAAAATCCGCGTCGTATATGATGTGACAGACCGTATTGGACGTGGTTTCCAATTGAAAGATTCAATTGCTGATGAGTTCAAATCTGGTGTAGTTTATGAAGCAACTTGCAGCATCTGCAACCAAGCATACGTAGGACAAACGCTTCGCCATCTAAAAACAAGAATTCATGAGCACATATTAGATCTAAAGAAATTCTTGCCTCAAACAGCAACCGTCAAACCATCAACGAAATCTAAACAAAGAAAAGAAAAGAAACAACAAGAAACTAAAACGACAATAAAGTACACAGCTCCACTTACTAGATCAAAAACGGGCAAGCTTCCACCAGTAGTTGTTAAGTTGAATTCCGTGGACCTTCATAACCTCTTGGATCAAACCAATCTAAAACAAAAAAACGAAAACATTCGAATCCCAAAATCATCAATAACAAAACACTATATCGCGACAAATCATACAATAACAGAGGAGAATTTCAAGATTTTACACAACGAACAACGTAAATACAGGCTAAAAATTAAAGAATCCCTCTTAATAATAACACGAGCTCCTCAACTCAATGGAACTGAACGATCAATGCCCTTGAAGATCTATCCTGATGGATTAAACACTAACGAACAAATGTAGTCACCTTTCGACTATAACAACTTGAACAATCAGTCTATCACTAACGACCACAATAGAGGGAAAACTAAACACACAGTAATGATTCATTTCCACTTCTACATATAGCACAATCATATTTCAAGGAAGGGCAATAAACAAAGCACAACTGGACAATGACGAGCACTAATCATTTTAAAGAATGAATCACCACATCACAAAAAGCCAACAAACCACTTCTCAATTTCCATTCAACGAACAATCGATAACCAAGAAGAAAACATCTGAAATTCAAATAAACCCAGCTATATTTCATAAGCCAACCATCACCTAAATAGCATTGAACATTTCAACTGGAAGAACCTAGGCACCACCTTATACAAACAGCATCGTGGCAACTATCTATAATAAATTTATGCAAAAGGGTCAAGTTAATAACATCAGGTAATGGAATTGGAAATGATAATGAAACATCAGGTCGTGGAAAAACAACATCAACATAAACCAAAACAACATCATCGACATGAAGCAAAACAACAACAATAACAAGAACAATTCTAGTAAATGTCCGTATAAACAAGGACGAAATATTGAAAAAAGAAAAAACGTTTAGAATTTAAATAAATTCTCTTTTATTTTAAATTTTAAATTTTAAATTTTTTATTTAATTATATTAAATAAAATAAAATCGTGCTGCATCATCAATCTATTGAAACAAATGAACACCGATTCTCATATAATACATTATGAATTTCAGTTTTTGTATTTGAAATTAAATGAAAGATACTGGCTACAATGTAGAAAATTAATTAACCTACGCTTGGGTTACTGACCGTAAAAATGACAAATTTTGCTGTTATCACATCCATGATGAATACAAAACAGGACGGTCCTGGTGTCCTGTCCTGTCCTGCCGCCCGCCAAGACGGACCAGAGTATCAGGACAGGGCAGGACAGGGCAGAAAAACTTGTCCTGTGCTCAGCTCTGGTGGATAATTTATGTTCGTTACTACTGCAGCTTTGTTTTTATTTGTGATCACAAAGAGAAACTGGAAGAGTAGCGTTACCGCTATCCTCGGTGTATACATGATGTTAGTTACACTACTCCATTCTCTAATTTCTCAGTTCTGTTCCAGTTCTGTCTATATTCCAGTTCTGATGTATAATACAATGTACTCGCTTTATATACGTGTACATGAGAGAGAGAAAAATAGAAAAAGATATAATAGGCATATGTGCATTACGTAGGCTATGTCCAGAGACGTAATCACGTTACATAGAAGTAGATCGATAACATTAAGAAAGAAACCAGACAGATTGATGACAGTAACGAGTTATGCAAGGGCTATGACCTATTGCATAACAATCATCATAATGTATTCCTCCTTCCTAATATTGGATCAGAGGATATTCCAAAGAAATGGAAACGCAAATATGTGAACAATAAAGGATGTTCATGCATTATTGGCACACTGATGATTGAACCCTTAAGCAAGGTTCGAAACGCGTCGTATTCTGCTTTGGATCTCTATACCTTGAGTGTTTAACACACCCACACCCACCATTTTTATTTGATTTTCTTCATAATTTTCCTTTATGAATTTTAAATTGAATTTAAAGATCTTAAGGCACCTGATGAGACTATTTAAGCAATAGTTGAGGCGCGTCGTAGTAGCTTCCTACACACCCACCCACCCACATCCTTTTTTCTCGTGGAACTAAGTTTATGTTTGTTATGAACTTGTTTATATTATACCTTTCTGATGTGATTCATATTTATCATTTCAGCCAACCCAATAGGGTTGGTCGAAGATGTGATTGGTAATTTCCTGGAAAGGGGAGGTGTTAGAGTCAGTAGATGTCGTTAATTGACGCTAAGCTATTCATAAATATGTTTGTGTTTCTCAATTTCGTTGGATCTGTTACGTCATTTGTCAGATATAATTGATTCATGTGATTGCGTATCTCTTGCGTAGTTTCTTCTTGCTTCAAAGTCAGTTGCTTTCTTCTTCTCGATCGATGTACAACATCCTCCTATCATTTCTGTTATTATTATTATTATTATTTATTATATCCTCGTTAATATATAATTATATATTATACAAATACATATATTAATAATAAACTACTATTGACCTCATCCTCCCATATTTATTATTTCCTTACACCCGGGTAAGTTGTTTTCTATACGTGAACTCTCGTCTCATCTATATGAACGTCATCCCCTAATATTTCGTTTCATAGAAGTCACGTTATTTTTAAAATAAAATAAACGAGTCCTCACAAAAACCTAGATAGATTCGTCTAATGAACTGGCACAAAACAGAGTCACAGTGAAAGCTTGTTTTTTTTCAGATTGAATATGTAACAACTGATAAAGCTCTAAATAACATATCTAGACTCATTTTTCTACGAGGATTTATAAAATTAAATTGGTGAGAACCATAAGTGGAACAGGAGAAAAATAAACGTTGTTTCCGAAAAAGTCATTTTTTGCTGACTTTTCCACCCTCTCAGTTTTTTTGCAGCTTTCTCCATGAAGATTTTCTCAAATCGAAAATGCAGGTAGATATTCATGATCAGCTTGAAAAGCCGAATCTTTTGATGTATATTTAACCAAAAAATAGGCAGTGCTGTAATTTTGAATCACGCGCACCTTAAATGAACGACCAGTATCAAGTAAAACTTGTGGTAAATCTTGAAAGCATCTCCTTTCATTGTTTCAAATGGCGGACCATCCGATCCCGAGAATACAGCACCTACTCGTGCTAAACTTAATCTGGTTCTGCTTGGAATGCTGATTTGTTTTTGATGATGAAGAAAAATCCTGTATTCTTGCTAGAATAAGAATATTTGGTTTTATCTTTATTATTGTACAAGAAGTGCGATGAGTATTCGCATTCTTCCTACCGTTGGTCAATGTAAATGCTAGTGCTGCTTTACATTCATTTCATGATGCGAACTGTTGTTTTTCATAGTTGATAAACAGCCGAAGCGCAGGTAACGCACGGACGTTTTTTCAACTTCGAACGATTGTATCTCGATAATGGTAAAAGGAAAAAGCTTGTAAATTTCAACACTTATGTAAGTCGACAACTTCTATAATACCTGAAAGTTTGAGCCTCAAGCGTTGGACTGTTTAGATTCTATAGGTGAAATACTGGTCGGTAACACACAGACAAAAAAGGTCCTTCGTTCTCAGTAGATGCGAGAGAAGTGATAAATGCTGCGAACTACGCTGTTTTAATGAATATTGTGACAGAGCATTTTGTAGCTCAGAAGTAGAAGTATCTTTTGGTGAAGAGAAAATATAATTAATTTAAAAAATGAGCGAGCTATTGACAAAATTGGAAGTAACACACAGACATTTTGGTAACGCACAGACACATTTTTTTAGAAAAATGTCTGTTTCGGGCGAATTTTATATCAATCAAACTATTTAT